GCGGCGCCCGCTCCCCGCCGGCGGGGACAGCCCCCGGCCGAGGCGGCGCAGCGACGGTGAGGCCGGCCCGCCGGGGGACGCGGCGCGGAGGGGCCGAGGAGCCGCCAGCGGGTACTCGGAGCTGGTACGTGCCTGAGGAGAAGATGCTGCCGGGCCCGGGGTCAACACTCCTCTTCCCCCTCCGCCTGGCCCGATCCCCTGTCCTCCGGCCGCCCCGAGAGCCGCAGCCCCCTGCCTGGGGAAGGATCCTCCCGCCTTGTCAGCGACCCTGGGCCCCCCTGCTGCGCCCGCCTGGCTCCCCAGCCCGGTGGTGGTGTTAACAATGCCCCGGAGGAACCCGCCAGGGGCCTGCTAGTAACTGTCCCTGTTGTACCGGGCTAGGATCGTGTCCGCCCTCTGCTCTTCCCTCAAGATCAAATCCTAGTGAAGACGGGAGTTTTCACCCCAGTGAGCAGGTGGAGTGTAAAAACGGAGCTCCCCCCATCTCTGCCTGCTAAGTCGCATGACAACTACCAACTGCCCTGTCTTTACTAGGATTTCACATCCAATTAGGGAACTTGAGTTGAGCGCGCCCCCTTTTCCCTAGTGAAGTCCTAGCTCGCGGGTCCAGCTGTAGGGAATTCCTGAGCAGCCAGAGGTTTGAGTGATCGACGTGAGGTTTATTAAGAGTTTAGCAAAATGAGATTCCTACAAAAGAATCCGTTTGCATAAGGTACCTAATCTGCAGTCCTGCCAAAGCCCATCTAGACAGGTTCACTGAGGACTCGGTGACATCGACTAATGTATTCTCTGGAAATGTAAGAGCTTTCCTTCTCCCTTTCCAGTAGGCCATACTTGCTAGCCTTTTATCTCAAGTCTCCTATGCCATTTTTTTCCTTACTTGACTTCACACACATTAAATTTTCCAGGTTTCTTTGGTGCACTTGGTTTATTATCTTACCAGGCACCCCGAACACAGTAGGTTCCCCCTATTTTTTATGCCATGTCTGTTCTATATCCGTGATACTTGTCTGTCCTGTGTTTTATATTTATGGAATAAACAGTTTTGGTTCCTCTCTTTCATAGTCCATATTTACAGCTTAATCAGTTCCTTTGCAGACGCATCTATTACAGTATTTATTTTTTTGCATATATTTCAGTTTTGTCCCAAAAATTCCCCATTCCTTGGGCATCTGTTCTTTGCTCACCTGCGCTTAGTTTTGCATGCTAAGATTGAAGCTGAAGATGTTAACATGAAACCAACTCAGTCTACCTTTAAAGATACAAAGCTTATTTAATTCTGCTAATTCATTAATATTAATTTATATGTGATGGGGAGTTAGAGTTTAAAACTAAACTATCACAACACTTGGAGCTAATGACAGCTCAGTTTTATCAAATAAAAAAATTCTAATAACGAGCATTATACATTTTGAAATTTTTCTTTTCTAGCAAACTTACCAAGATGTATTTTGCATGTTTTAATATAAATTGTTCTTTTATTATTTAAAAAAAAAAAAGGTTTGGTTGCTCATTGGTGGTCAAGTATCAGAATAAAATGGCACATGGTATTGGAGCTGTTCAGGCTCCCCTTCTTGTCTCGGTTATAGGTTCAGGTCTGGTCAAGAGAGGTTTGATGTTTATTTCCCAGTATTTCAAGGCATTCTGGCAATCCAGGTTTCAATCAAATATGTATTTACCTTGAATATTCAAATCACATGCAAGGCTTGACTGATTTCTTTTTTTAACATTTTCTTATTTTCCAGTATGAAAACCCATGGACGATCCCAAATATACTTTCTCTGGCAAGAATTGGTTTGGCTCCAGTTTTGGGTTATTTGATTGTAGAAGAAAATTTCAACATTGCATTGGGTGTTTTTGCTTTGGCTGGGATAACAGACTTGGTATGTTGCATAACAGAGTTTTGAAATGTATTTTGTTGTTTTATAATTTAAAATCACACCTACTGCATCATGTATAAACAGTTTGCTAATTCTCTTAAAATTTAAGTCAGTATTTTGAAATGAGATCAGCTAGTATACTAATTATTTTGTAGAAATGCCTGAAAAAGCCATGATGACAAGACAGGGCCAGATTCTGCCACTCATTAAGGCTGCTTTGTGCTGCTCTGTTGGTGCAAAACAGCCTTAAAGATTCCCTAAACAGGTAACTGAGAATCCCACAGTGAGTTGTGTATAAACTGTATTTACGCATGCAACTGGCTGCTTGCAAATGCAGATTAAGAATTTCTGCATCCAGAAGAGGTAATTGTGTATGCAGATTAGATACGTTTCAACAGTGCCATGCGAATGCCTTTTCTCGCTTTCAGGTGACATTGTAAACAAGAAGCGGGCAGTGGTATCTCCTGCAAATGTAAATAAACTTGTTTGTCTGAGCGACTGGCTGAACAAGAAGTAGGACTCAACTATCAGGGGGTAGCCCTGTTAGTCTGTATCTACAAAAACAACAAGGAGTAAAAACCCACGAAAGCTTATGCCCAAATAAATCTGTTAGTCTTCAAGGTGCCACCAGACTCCTTGTTGTTTTTGAAGAAGTAGGACTGAGTGGACTTGTAGGCTCTAAAGTGTTACATTTTTATTTTTGAATGCAGGTTTTTTTCTTACATAATTCTACATTTGTAAGTTCAACTTTCACGATAAAGAGATTGCACTACAATACTTGTATTAGGTGAATTGAAAAATACTATTTCTTGTTTTTTACAGTGCAGATATTTGTAATTAAAAATAAAGTGAGCACTGTACACTTTGTATTCTGTGTTGTAATTGAAATCAATATATTTGAAAATGTAGAAAAACATCCAAAAATATTTAAATAAATGGTATTCTATTATTAACAGCGTGATTAATCACGATTAATTTTTTTAAATCGCTTTACAGCCCTTCTGATAATACTTTATAACTTTTTAATTACCTACGTTATATTCATTTTGCTTATCACATATCCTGGTGTAACCGTAGTAGATGCTGATTTTTTTTTCTAGCTATCAAACATTCACATATTAAACTTGTATTTATAGTTGGATGGCTTTATTGCACGAAACTGGGCCAGTCAGAAATCTGCTTTGGGAAGTGCCCTTGACCCGCTAGCTGATAAAATTCTTATCAGTGTCCTGTATGTCAGCCTCACTTGTGCAAGTCTTATTCCAGGTAAGATTGTGTTAAATTCATGTATTTTTATTTTTTTCATAAGATAGTACTAAATAGTATGGAGAAGCGGACTTAATGCAAGGAAGACACTTCTTATGTTGTCAAGGAGGAAAACTAGTTTTAGCTTACAACAGTTTTGTCAATTGGGTTTTACTGTTGGCTGTTTAAAAGAAAGTTTAAAGAACTTTATTTAAATATTAAATCATAAAATTCTGACTTACTTTTAATTCTGTTTTGCTGTTGAGCACCTGAACAGTCTTTGTCACTAGGTTCAGCTTCAGCAGTAGTTTGCTCTGTTTTTAACAATGAATAATTTTATTGCACTTTCCACTCATAAAACTCACATTTTAAAAGAAAACATATGTCATACACAACTACATCAAACCACTGTTCTGAGACTGATATTTCTCTCTTTATCAATCTCTATGGTAGACTCCAGTTTTCCAATCTGAAATGGGATGATTGGGGCCACCCTTGCCAGTTAATTCAGATTTGTCTTGGCTGCTCTGGAGTTCATGCTTACTGGCAGTTATTGAAAATAGATGATGATTCTGGCAGGAGAGTGTTTTTCTCTCCACAGACAACAGTGGAACCAATTCACCTCTGCCATCTGCATGGGTCTGACTGTGCAGGAAAGGTGCTGGTTGCAGGAAGTGCTGCAGGATAATGTAATGCTCTTCTGATACCGTTAGATGTTGCCACTGAATGCTAAATCATACATTTTTGCCTCCTACCCTCCCCCCTGAAATTTGAATTGCTTTTTATTTAGATGGAAAAGACGAATAGTTTGTATTTTCTTTGTGTTAATGGGGATTGCACATGTGAACATGTAGTCGTGGTATATCATGGTGGACTTTGTCTATCTATAGCTAAAAACCTGTTTAAATCAAATTTTTCAAATCCAGACAATTTCTTCTATATTTATATTTTGTTGATTTGTTTTTCAGTTCCATTGACTACTTTGATCATTTTGAGGGACATAGTGCTAATTGCTGCTGTTTTTTATGTGCGATACAAAACACTATCCCCACCGGTAAGTGTGTGGCTTTAAAACAAATTGTGGATGGACATGAAATCAAATAGGTTTGGACTTTGAAGAGGTTATCTGTTAGGATGTATCTATAGCAGGGGTAGGAAGCAGCAATTACTTAACAAACATATTGGCCAAAGCTTTGTTATGCAGCTTGATGCAGATCCAAAACTTAGGGGGAAATAGTGAAGATTTACCTGGCAAGAGAACAACAGCATTACATATGAGACTATGAAATTTAGGACACCATAAACTAATATTTTACAAAATGAAATCCAGCAATTATATCAGGGCACAAAAGCAAGGTTCCATCACTTCACTAGTTATTAAGTAACCCTTTTATTGTCTCTGTATTGCCACTTGTACTGTTATATTTCGGTTTAATGTCTTACATAATTTTTTTAAATGTCAGTTTGTCAAAGAATAGATTAGTATAACTGTTTCTCCAGTGCTGTGAGTGATTTTCTGTAGTGTGTTCTTTGTGGAGATTTGTTTCAAACACACACATTAAACATAAACAACCTTTATCTTTCTTTCACAGAGAACACTTAGTAGATATTTCAACCCCTGTTATGCCACTGCCCAGTTAAAACCAACTTTCATCAGCAAGGTAAAGGTGATCATTTATTATAAATTACTGTTTCTTCAGCATCCAGGAGCTTTCACCATTCTGAAGCACTCTTAATTTTCTGACTGCTGTCTTCGGCAGCACTTAATTAGGGCTACCATACGTCCGGATTTCCCCGGACATGTCCGGCTTTTCGATCTATAAATAGCCGTCCGGGGGGGATTTCTAAAAATCTAAAAATGTCCGGGATTTCCCCCGGTCGGCTATTTATAGATTGAAAAGCGGCGGCCAAGCGCCGCTCGGCAGCCAAAGCCCCTTCCCGGCTTCCCCCATCCCCTGCAGCCTTAGCACGCCGTCTGGCCCGGCAGCTGTTTTCCTCTTCTTCCCCTCCCCTGAACGCTCTGCCCCCCTGTTCCTCCCCCTCCCCTGCTTCCCACGAACATCTGATTCGCGGGAAGCCTGAAAAGAAGCAGGGGCAGGCGGGCAGCAGCAGGTAAGCTGGGGCGAGGGGTGGGGACGCGAGGAGGAGGGCTCCGGGGAGGACCGGCTCGGGCCCCAGGGCGGCGGCCCCGGTTCTGGCCAAGCGCGCCGGCCCCGGCCCCAGCGGCTCGGGCCCCAGGGCGGCGGCCCCGGTTCCAGCCGAGCGCGCCGGCCCCGGCCCCAGCGGCTCTGGCCCGGCTCGGGCCCCAGGGCGGCGGCCCCGGTTCCGGCCGAGTACCTCCGGCCCGGCCCCAAGCCCCGCGACCCTGGCTGGAGCTCCAGCTGGAGCTCCGGCCGGAGCGCAGCCCGATTCCTGGGCATTTGTTAAAGCCGGCCCTGGTTGGGGGGTGTTGGATGGGTTGGGAGTTCTGGGGGTCCTGTCAGGGGGCGGGGAGCAATTGGATAGGGCATGGGAGTCCCGGGGGTCTGTCTGGGGGTGGGGATGTGAATATGGGGTGGGGGTGTGGATAAGGGTTGGGGCAGTCAGGGGACAGATAGGGTCCTAGGGGGGCAGTTAGGGTGGGGGGGCTCTCAGGAGGGGGCAGTCAGGGGACAAGAAGCAGGGAGGCTTAGATAGGGGGTGGAGTTCTAGGGGCAGTTAGTGGCAGGGGTCCCAGGAGGGGGCAGTCAGGGGACAAGGAGCAGGGGGGGGGTTGGGAGTTCTGAGGGGGGCAGTCAGAGGGTGGGAGTGGATGGGGGTGACACATTCTTATATAGGGCTTTATTCCGCAAAGTCCTGAGTACTCTGGGTGTGATCCAGCAAAGCACATGTTTAATTATAAGCACATAAGTTGTCTGATTAACAAAGCAAACGTTCAGCAGCTATATCTCAAAACTTGTATTTTGCCTGGTTTTCCATATATTGGCTAAGGTTATCAATAACCTCTTAAGTAACGTGTAGGACATGAGTGTGGTAAAGTTCTATTTCAGTACAGCCACAACTTATATTTAATTTTTACCAGATGAACACAGCAGTTCAGCTAATCTTGGTGGCAGCTTCTTTAGCAGCTCCTGTTTTTGATTACATAGATAGCATATATCTACAGACGTTATGGTAAGTTACATTTTTATTTTTTGTGATATCTGTAATGTACTTGTAAAGAAACTAACAATTCCGATTGAATTAAAAAGTTAAATTCGTGGAACAGAAGGGTCTGCCTCAGTAAGCCTAAATTAGGTTACAGACTTGTATGGTTGAACTCTTCCAGATGACATTTTCTTTTTGGCTGAAACAGAACCAAGCAATATATCAGTGCTTAATTTGTTATGAGAGAAATAGCTAAACACATGAGGAAGCCAGTCAAAACCCAAGGATGAAAAGTTAAGAAACTAAAGTCTTCCAAATCAGCATGAAGGCATCGCAGAAGGTATGCACATCCCTAAATTAAAATACATACATAAATGTGGAAAGGTCAGGAAAAATCTGATATTGTTAAATGGAAAGTTATGGCATTTTTTCCAGTTAAAAGGGTTTCATTGCTAAAATTGTAGCACAAGTGATGCCAGTAGAAATGGACAAACTATGGCAGGTAAAACGAACTAGAAATTGACCAATTTGAAGAGCAAATAACTTTAAAAAAAGAAGTTCTTTAAGTATCTCTGAAATAAGATGCTTGAGGGAATCAGTGATGTCTACTAGGTTACCAGGGAGTATAGGTGCAATCTATGAGAAAAAGAACACAATGGTTTATTTCCATCAGTCTTTCCTGGCATAGCTGTTGTCACAGTTCAGGGCAACTGCACCTGTATTTTCCCTGCATGGGCCCTCAAGGGCACCCCCTCTAGGCTCCTAGCTCCTCAGCCATCACTTCTTTTTGGCAGAGACCCTCATGTTTTTCCAGGCTGCAAAGTTCCCTATCTATACTGTGATATTACCAGCAAGCCAGATTGACTAAACACACCAGTGTCTTTGCTTTGCTTTCTCTCTGAAGGTTTATGAACAGTATAATTGCCAGCAGTTACAAGTTACCACACAGCTCTTTAGAAGCAAGCACATTTATTCTTAAGGTGAAAGCATTACAGAGAAAACAAACAAAAAAAAACAATAATAATTCTTATGCACATGCTAAAAGCTCACCCCAAGTTACTTATCAATCTTATAGGGCCTCAGTAGGCCAAAGTCCTTTCAATCTTTCCCAGGAAGAATTGGGACTCCCCTTGGACAGTTTGCTGGATCAGAAAGAAGGCCCATAGTCAGTTTAAACTCAGGCTGGGCATCCCAAAGTTCGTTCTTTGTCAGTTGGTCTCTGGTGAATCCAATTTGAACTAGTATATATGAGCCTTTCTAGGTGGTGTGGTACTTCTCGGGAGGTGTTACAACGTGAGTGAATTTGCCTGATCACCCCTACTGTGTTCTTCGTTCCCGGAAGAGCTGTGGTTTCCCTTCCCTGTGAAATTATATACAGTCCCTGACTCACGATACATAAACTTAATATAGCAAGTTCTCCCAAAGATATTGCAGGAAATTGCCCAAGTCTCTCTCAGCTATTTTCAGGTATAAAGGTGAGACACTGTCAATTTAGGATGTTTAGAAAAAATTGATAATTGAAATTGCGACAAGTGATCAGACTAGATGGTATTTGTCCATGAATTCTAAAGGAACTTACTATAAGAATAAAGTGGCTGAGCAGTTACTAGAAATAAACAATCTACTATTAGTTAGAAACTATACTAAAGAACTGGTGGATCCAGTATACCTATTTTTTAAAAGGTTCTGAGGAATTAGTGACCTTTATTTCAATAACCAAGTAAATATGTTGAAAAATATACTGATTAAAAGCTGATACTATATGGAAGCAAACTGGGATAGTTTCTGTAAAGGGCATTTTTGCTCTCACATATTAGGATTCTTTAAAAGTTAACAGAATAGTGAATAAAGGAGAACTGGTAGATATAACTTACCAGAATTTTTAAAAGGTCTCACAAGAGTTAACTATAAAAAAAATTAGATTATACTAGTTTTAGAATAGAGATTTGACTATTGCTTATGTAGCCATCGTCGGAGTGCAGTTGATTGAAACAGTAGTATTATGTATATTTTAAGATGTAGCAAGCAAGAATTATTAACTTGATTGTTTTGGTAGCAGTTGTCATGCATATATTTTTAAAAACAAGCAAACAAGAAACCCTTGGAAGTAATCCATTTGGTCTGGGAATAGTCTTTCAGTGTCAGCCAGTTCTCAAGTTGGTGAACACTGCAGATACACTGAGCCAGATTCGTCCCCCACTTTTCTGTTGCAGTATAACTGGATTAAAAATTCAGCCCAGTACATGATGAAGTCTATGGTGAAGCAGACTACTGAACAATGAAGTTTGCTTATGTGAATACGCTTTGCTTTGCAGTGAGGTTTAGTTTTGAATATGAGATTTGTTGTGTACAGTCAAAGTTAGTCATTAAAATGAGAAGGGGTGGGTGAGAATTTCCTTAATCACACTTTCTTCAACCTTTGACCTCAGTCTCTGTGGCTAGCATAGGCTGTCCCATAATATACACACTCAGATTGTAGCAAAGAATAGGGAAACCATTTAAAATACAGCTTGGGGCATTATTCAAATATTTAGGCACAAAGAAACTAATTTATATTAACCATTTTGCCCCCAAAGGTGCATTACAGCTTTCACAACAGCAGCGTCTGCATACAGTTATTATCATTATGGTCGGAAAACAGTCCAGGTAATAAACAACAAATGAAATGTTACAGAAAGGACCATCTCCTGACATCACTGTTTTCTATATTGCAAAGGACAATATAACTGGCCTATGAATAAGAACTCTGTTTTTCCTTAGGACAGTTGTTTCAATTCAAACCATGTCATCACAATTGGACTGATATGAAGTAAAAATGAAGTCTGATCATGTACTGTAAATGTATTGAATTTTCAATGTATTTTTGAAAGTTATAAATAAAAATATAATTAAGAAAAATCACAATGTTCTTAAAGGCACTTTTAAGTCACCAGTGGCTGTCCTGCATTTTAAATCTTGTATCTCTTTTTATATTGCTTTTCAGAAGCTAAACTTTGCACACTTCCCACAGAATTGGACAGTATATTAGATTCTAATAGCGAGCTGACGAAGCTCCCTTTTCTTCTCAGATCTAGTATGCATGGAGTTATAAAGACAAACTGTTGTATACTGTCTCAAGACAGAATCACTTATTAGAATTTACTAAATATTATAGTTTGCTGCAAAGGAAAGCATTAAATCACTAGGGAATGATACCTTCAGAAACGTAAAGTGATCTTTTTTCCCCCCCAAGTTTTTAAATCCTCATTGTGATATGAATAATAGTCCATACAGTATTTCAGAGTTATTCTCTTCTTCGGTAAAAATACCAAGGTAACTATCTGTCCCCAGAGAGAAGGTTCTAGTGACATTAGGGCTCATGGTGTAGTGTCACAGACGTAGATAAGTTGAGTTCTTAAATAGAAGCATGTTTCTAGTACTGCTAGTTGATAGTGGTTGAGAAACCAAGGTACTGAACTTCCTGTGTGAACTATGCTGGCTATTTTAAAACTGCTTGGTCAGTTTGAGATCTTCTTGGAGCAGAAATATCAACGTAAATAGAACTGAGAAAAATCAAGACATTTTAAATGCTTGTCCAAATCACTGGATTCATTAGAAACAGTTAAAGCGGCATATTCTGTGCGTGATTCTCCTATATCTCTGACTGCGTTGTTTATCAGGCATTGCTATGATCTCAATTTACTACCTGTGATCAAAGAATAGAGCAAAACTATTTAAAGTTACAGACTTAAACGCTTGTTCCTTGCTTATACTCTGATAGCTACAAAAAGTAATGAAATCTTCTTATTAAATACCTTCGAGCCAGATGTGTGTTTTGCATGTAGTAGCAAAGAACTGAGGTGTGAAGAGGTAAAGTAACTGAAAATAGGTAATATATGTTGGACTATGGTGCTCTATCACCAAAAGTGAATTTATTGTAGACACATACTGATTTTGAGGGGGTGTGGTTGTAGGTGTGTATATAAAACATTTTAATTTTTTCTTTTAACTTGTATAGAAATGGTTCACAGACAACGTTTAATTTTTATTCAATGCCTGTCTCTTAGCTATCACCATATACAGCAGTCCAAATCTGTCTTATTTGCAATGGAAGGATAAATGTAAAGCAGATCCTATAAAATGTTTCTTCTTAATGTGCACGTTTGGTTATTTGGGAGTATTGTATTTCTTCAGCAACACAATTTTAAAATGGAGAGATGACAAAGTCCATTCAGGTTATTCCTTTTTTTGTTCATTACCACCATGTCAAGTATAGTGAGGTACACCTGAATATGATGTTCCGGTAGGGAATGGTAAAATGTTAAGGCTACTGAAGGATCATGTCAGCATACAGCTGCCTCAGCACATTTATGAATACAATGGCTACACCGTTTCATGATTTGTCTTTGTATTTAGTTTATTGTACAGTTATTTGGAGTTGTCCTCAAGGTATTTATATTAAATGAAGTTGTTAAACAGTGCAGAGCTGTTGGCTGTTTCTAGCATGTACATTAGTTGCTCCTTCTGTCCTTACTGGTTTATTCTGGATATTAACTGCTGCTGATAAAACATAGCTAAGGTACAGAAATGATACTCCGCCTTACCCATGAGAACAATCATGGACTCAGCATCCCAGCTCTTTGTTGTGCAAAAATAATCACCTTGGGGCGTTCATCTGAAAAGCAACTGAGTTCAAATGGCTGTATTTGTCAGGATGAAAGCTGTCCTTATTGGTCCATTCTGCAAATGAAGAGTCTTTGAACAAGTAGTGACCCCCTAGAGTGGGACAGTTATTGGCTGCATTTCCACGTTTCATGGTGGTGAGAAACAATTTAATGCTGCCTTGGGTTGTTTTAAGTTCAATTCTTTTCACATGAGATTGGATTGACAGGGGGAAATAGTTTAGACTCTCCCTGCAGACACATACACTGCTACCTCTATATAACGTGACCCGCTATAACACGAATTCGGATATAACGCGGTAAAGCAGTGCTCGGGGGGGGCGGGACTGCACACTCCAGTGAATCAAAGCAAGTTCAATATAACACGGTTTCACCTATAACGCGGTAAGATTTTTTGGCTCCCGAGGACAGCGTTATATCGAGGTAGAGGTGTAGTTATTTAGGTTTTAATGCTGCATGTTGCTGGAACAAGTAGAGCCAAAGTCAGACTAATTAACAGTTCTTTATAGGTGTGTAACAGCTTTAAAAAAAATTAAACACTAAAGATAGTAGGAAACTTAATTTGCAGGTTTTTAAATAATGTTTCCATTTTGCCGATGATGCCTGAAAAAATTAAAATTATGGTTCATGCTTCCTTTCTATATCATAGGGATTGTGCTCTTTTGCGTCTATTTTTCTGTTTGCAAATCACCTTTAATATAGGTTGGTTTATGGAAAGTTAGTGAGGATAACTGACCTCAGTGACTCAGAGTGGTATAAAAGGTATTCTCCAAGGCATAGGGTAGTTATCAAAAGATGGTGCCAAGCATTAAGTGCAGCTGGAGTGGAGCAGGAGGGAAAAAAATTGGGACTCAAAGTGATAGCAGGCACTAGTAAATATATTAATGCTTGTGATACAGAATGAAAACCCAACAATCTTGATATCAGAGTACATGCTAGTGTACCAGAATAAAAATGATACTTTATTGTATGCTCCAAAACTACTGTGGAAAGAGATGTCCAGATTTCACCCTGATCAAACAGGCAAAAAAGTCCTGACCTCGTTATTGTACACTTGTCTGTTGCCTTTAAAACAAGAACAATACTGTGGTTATTTCATTATCATGCTGCATTTTTTATTTCCATTAGTACAGAGCATGTGATATTTTTACCCTGGTAAAAATAACCATCACAACACAAATACCTTTCATCCGCTAACTCCAGTCTCTGATGAACAGGGCCATGGGTGCTTTAAGGCTGAGATTTTCAAAGCTGCTTAAGAGATTTGGATGCCCAATTCCTATTTAAATTAAATAAATTGGAATCCAAATCCCTTAGGCATCTTGGAAAATCATATCTTAAATGTCCACTGGAGTGGACAGGATCTCAGTTTTAAAGAACTTATCTCAACCCCTACCAGGTTGCACTGATACTCAGTTATCTACCTCAGTATAATAATGACAGGTCCAGTCAACCTCACTATCACTATTCTACTAACTTTGCAGATCAATCCAAGGCTTTGATCATTTATCATGGTGCTAACTCACTTGTTTCATTCTTTTGATGGGGGAATGATTGTGACACATGTTATAATTATAGCCATTTACTTTCATTTTGGAGACTCCATACAACATTCTGTTATTTGTATTGTGATAGCACCTCGGAGCCCCAGTCATGGGCCAGAACCCCCTGTGCTAGGTGCTGTACAAACATGGAATAGAAAGACTGTCCCTGCCCCAAGGAGCTTATAATATACTTGTTTTTATTCATTAAATCTTCATGTCTTGTTCTTAAGTGGCTGGTGCTGCACATTTGCCATTCCCACTGAGGTTGGCTGGCATTGTGGGTGTGCGGCCCCTCTCAATGGAGGACCCCAAGACTGTTCCCATCCTTCATTTTCAATCATTTGTTTTTCAATTACATTTTTGTATTGAGTTCAAACCATCTCCAACAGCAAAAAATATAATAAAGTTTACACTCTTTGCCCCTGTACAAGCCTTCACTTACAGCTACGTGTGTTCTGTATCGAGAGGAGCATGCCGTAGTGGAATACCATGGAAACAAAACCAGCACAGCAGCATCTTAATACACAAAACACAGACAAGGCTATTTAAAGGTGATCTGCAACCTATTTTTTTTTTAAATGGGCTTGTCGTTGTTTCTTTATAGCATATAAAGGACTGACAGGATTTTTTTTTCCTTGTTGCTTTTTTTTCATGCTTCTATGAGGGATGTAAAGTCCTGGTGAGCCCTAGTTTTGCTGGAAGACACGTTGGGAGGCTCATTGTACAGCTACACAGCAGCAGTTGTAATTCTCACTTCAGGTAAATGTACACAAGTGTACTCTGCTAGCGCCTAATAACAACAGTGTGGCCATGGCAGCGTGGCTCAGTCTAGTTATCCGAGTACAATCCCAACCGAGTCCCTGTTGCACCAGCCAGCTAGTGTGTAGCCCTAGTCCCAGGGACATGCACTAATAAGGCAGGATGGTGACACTTTCAAGAAAAGTGTTTGGGGACGAGTAGGTATTTAAACAAAAGCCCAAACGTCCATATTTCCAATCCTGGGTGCCTAATGTCAGGCTCTTAAATCCATAGCAAGGCTCCTAAATAGGGTAGCCTGATTTTCAAAGGTGCAAGTGGGTTTGTGTGTGCGTGCAGCATTTTTGATACAGAGGATGTTGCTATTTAGGCACCTAAATAGGACTGTGGACTTTGAGCCAGCTTTTTTAAAGGTCTTTAAGTGCTTAATGATGCAGATAGGGTCCTACAGGGATTTTCAAAAGCTATTGGCACCTAAAGACCTTTTAAAAAAAATATCTAGCCCTTCCTCTTGGTAATTTCCCCATCTGTACAAGGGGTATAGTGATATGACAGATGTTTTACCAACCAGAAATTAGGGGCTTGTCGCAGGAATCACAGGACAAAATTCTATGGTCACTGTTTTGTAGGAGGTTTGATTAGATGATCACACTAGTCCCTTCTGATTTTAAAATCTATAAACCCTTGCACCTTTGTAAAACACTGATATCTACAGCTGAAAGGCACTGTATACATGCTAGGGATTATTTCTATCAGGGCTTTTCTTCTGGGTGCTTCAACATCACCTTAGATTAGTTTAGAGAAGTACTATAGCCAAGGAACGTCAGAACTATGCCTCTTCCTCCTTCCGCATAAGGTTGTGCCACCCGTATCCCTCCTCACTTCATTTTAAAATCATCATTGGGACCTCCCGATCAGCTGCCAGAAAATAATTATACATTATAATAAAAAGAGAAACTTCACCCCAAACACAAACAAATCTTTAGAAATGGAAAAGAGAGATCTCAAACAGGCCAGGTGGTGTCCTGTTGTAACAAAACAAAGCATTCGGCGCCACAGCTGTCCCCAGTGTAATTTCAATTACAACAGATGAAGTCAGCCCTGTGAGGAACTCATAACCAAGTGAACAGCTGGATTCCACTTAGATGTGTTGCTATAAGATGTTTTACTGCAAAATATGTTGACAAAACTACCTGGGGCTAATTACATGGCTGCAGTTTTAAGGGGTAATCAAATGCTGGGTTTTTATAAGAGATGAGGTGTGTGCCGTATTGCTCAGCGTGAGGCTTTTTACATTTCTGATACAGACACACAGACAATACCATGGTGGTGATTAGGAAGACCCCACTTGCTAGGGACAAGACCACAAAGATGGATATATAGCTGGGCTTTGTTGTAAACTGGGTGCATGGATTGCCCAAAATCTTCTCACTCGTCGTCTGGCTCAATCCTGCTTTGTTAGAAGCAATCACGCACACCCAATAGGTGGTGTCTGGTGAAAGTTTGTATAGTGTATGCTGCCTTGCTGTGGGATAGATCTCATCAACCAGGATCTGGCTCTTCTCGCTGCCTTTGGCATGGTATGCAAGCTGGTAACTATGAACGACTGAACTGGGGGCACACCAGTGGATCTGTGCTGATGTGTCTGTCGTTTCAGACACTTCTCTGAGCCTCGGTGGATCTGGAACAGTGTCTTCTCCAGACGCACCAGGACACAGACATGGGGACAACCTCTGAAGTTCAGAGCATGGCTTCTGGAGGTGGTGGCAGGGGTCGTAGTCACAAGAGACTATTATCGGTTGAGTTATGCTTTCCTTTGGTTGATCATCGTAATAGTCATATTCATAATCCACGTGTATTACAGCATGGGTAGGGTTTGGAATAGGGTTTGCCTTTGTGGGGTTTTGCGGCCGTTGATCTGTCTGAGATGGACTTACTGTGCCAGGAAAAAGAGGAGAGTTTGTCCCTATTGGTCCTGTCGCTTCAGTGGAAGGGTTATTAGTAGACTGGTAGAATGTTTCCTCTTGGGGAAACAGAGCAGTAGTCATTGTAGCATTTCTCTTCAATGGATCTGTTTTGATTGTACTCGCAGTGCTTTGCTGAGTTAAGGAGTCGCTATAAAGCTCTCCCAGAATTGTTGAAGAGGTGGCTGTGGTTCCTTCAGTAGTGGGA